GAAGCTGCAGACTTACATGCACAACAGCTCAAGGACATGAGTGTACCAACTGCTGCTATACACAGTGTCACTAAACATGCTAGTGGCATATGCCGTAATTGTGGGTTAAAACACCAGTACAAACCACGGGAACAGTGCCCAGCATATGGAGCAGAGTGCAAAGCTTGTGGCAGAATGAACCACTGGGCACGCGTTTGTCTAGCGAGCAAACAGAAACGATGGCACAAATCCACACCACGTGGTCGGGGACCCTCAGGTGACCGTGGACGCTCAAGGTCTGATTACAAGGGAGGAAAGCCATACCGAGCTCGCAGCAACACTCCTTACAAGAGAGATAACCATAGTCATATGCATACAGACGCTATCCACAATGCACAAGACAGTGCGAAGGACCTGGGTGAGCGATTTGATAGGTTGCAATTCAGCAACATAACTGTGTCAACCATGTGTCTAGATAAGATGCAACGCGATGAAGCATTCGCAGGGTTAGACATCAAGCTACGCAACCGTCCAGGCGTACACACGCTCAGACTCAAGGTAGATACTGGTGCTCAAGGAAACACCTTGCCACTATCTGTATTTCGCAGAATGTACCCCAACATGCTCACAACGGAAGGCTACCCCGCACAAGAAATTGCCATGGCAGCCAAACGAACACGGCTAACTGCTTACAACAGCACACCAATCCCGTGCCGTAGAGCTATTGACGTGCCATGCAGCTATAACGGTTCTGAGTGGACCGACTGTAGATTCTACATAGTGGACGTGGAAGGACCAGCTGTTATTGGTCTACAGTCCAGTGAACGGCTAAAATTAGTGACACTACACTGTGCAATCAACAGCACAAACATTGCTGATAGCGTGACAACAAAATCATCTATGAGAGCAGACGTATCTTCCATAGGGAACGTGCATGACCTGAAGCGACTGTACCCCGAACAATTTGACAGGATTGGATGTATGCCAGGCACATTCAAGATTACAGTCGATCCAAATGCGCCAGCGCACGTTGATGCACCTCGAAAACCCCCTATTGCACTGAAAGACGAAATAAAGAAAGAGCTGGATTACATGGAAGAAAACCACGTCATACGTAAGGTGACAGAACCATCAGACTGGGTGTCTAGTTTGGCCTATTCGCACAAGAAAGACGGATCCCTGCGTGTCTGTTTGGACCCAAGATATCTCAACCGAGCACTAAAACGTCCATATCACAAGATACCTACTGTAGAAGAACTCACACACCACTTCGCAGGGGCTAAGGTATTCTCAAAGCTTGACGCGAAAGCGGGATACTGGTCAATAAAACTTGACGAGGAATCGCAGCTCCTCACCACATTCCAATCGCCGTTTGGGAGATATTGTTTTGTACGTCTGCCGTTCGGATTGTCCGTCTCGCAGGACATCTTTCAATTGAAAATGGATCAGATCCTGGACCAAGTGGATGGTGCAGTAGGCATAGCAGACGATGTAGCAGTCTATGCTAAAACTGATGAGGAACACGATCAGATTCTGCACAGACTGATGTGTGTCGCCGCCAAGACTGGTCTATTGTTCACTCGCAGTGCAACATCAATGTCGACAGCATGCGCTTCGTTGTGGTATGACATACTCCGATTAGGGGTACACCCTGCACAGTGAAAATAGCCGACTGCAGGCTATGCCAAGCCTTGCTACTAAGAGGAGTTACATGAACTTCCTGGATTCGTAACGTACTTGTCACGTTTCATCTCCAGGTGGCGACAAGCAGACCTCTACGTGACCTGCTAACGAAGATGCTGCATTCATGTGGTGGACATCACCTGCGGCTTTTGATGAGCTACGAGCTAGTGACGCGGGACTCACGCTGCAGTACTTTGAACCTAGTAGCGCCAGTATGCCAGCTGATGCAGCCTCAAAGGACTGGGCGCGGTCTGTGCGGATGCGGAAACCGGTGGCATATGCTTCAAAAAACTATCTGACGTAGAGGTGCTATGCATGTATGAACAGGGAGTACTCGCCATAGTATTTGGTGTACACGTTCCATACATATCCTCTACTGGCGCGTTTCAAAGTCCTGATCTGCCACAAACGCTTGTCTGATTCTGCAAAAGCCGTTGACAGAAGCACCACCCAGCTTACAGCGTATGGATGCTGCATGAGCTCCGAGGATACCGTGATAGATGAATACGGCAGTGAGGAGAATGACGTAGCGACTACCAAGCTCCAGAAAACGAAGTTACCATTGATCTTGTGTGCAGATTGACTCGTGAGATTTATAGCACTAGAACGCCTTAAATAGCGTACGAGTAAGCTCAGGAGAGACTCCACACTCAACAGCTAAGTGAACTATCATATGGTTGGCCAGAAACATCGAGATCCCTACACCAATAGTCATATTGGTTCGTTACGTGATGAACTATCAGTGGGAAATGCATTATTCTTTGAAGGGACAGTGTGTTGCGTGTTCCAGCTGAGGTATGGAAGGATGTACTCGCAGACCTACTATGGACATCAGGGCATAGATTAAACACACCTGCGTGCTAGATGCGTTGTACTGGAGCGGAATAAACTAAGACATTACACTCTGCAACGGAATGCCAGTATGCCAAGAGTCAACCATCGCAGACACAGAGAACGCTGTCTACCGCATGAAAATACCTAGCCGTCCTGTTGGCAGGTCGTAGGCAAGACCTGTTCCAGTTCATGGCAGTGAGTTCCTGACTATTGCGGACTAACAGCAAGTTTCTGATTATCGAGAAAAACTGCCAGCCAGGTTACGTAAAGTCGGTTATCGGAGCATACCAAAGCAGGTCATTTTTCGACACGGATCCCACCGTGTGTAAGCGACAATGGACCATTTAGTAGTGCTTCGAGTAGCTGCTTACAGAAGAATTCGGAGACAGTGGGTGTTTTGACCATGCAACGCTCGCCTGTAGCATTTCGCTAGTCTAACGTTTTGGTCGAGAGACAGATTCGATACCGTAAAGAGTTGCTTTAGCAAGCGCGAAACGAAGCGAACACTTGATGTTCACATGGCCTATGCTGTGTCTTCGCCACCAGCGCCGGTAAGTCAGCAACTACCAGCCCAGCGTGAGCTGTCGCTGGTCGCAAGTTGAGAGAAATATCCCTGTCAAGCAGAGTACACAACATCGGCGATGCAGCGAATAATCGCCGACAAGTAGATGAAGCGACAGGTGACAAGAAGGTATCATGATTCGTGGTCAGCACGATTTGCCGCCCCTCATGCCTTGGACAATCAGTGACAGTCCAGGACGACAACACTAATCGTGGCAGCCAGCACCATGTGTCGAAATGCGACGAGCTGCGAGTGCGTATATTGTTGCCAGCCCCAATGGAAGCCAGTGAGACGGAAACCAAACTATTCGCAGAGGTTCACATTCCGGAAAAGAAGCGTGTAACGTTCGCATATTCGTTCCAGCAGAAACGCATGACGTGCCTGTCAGTTGCCGTGTCCGGTGCGCAATCGAACGATGCTCGTGAACTACTCGACCTCAGAGATTGTCGCATACACACTGCACCAGTGAACGATGCGACCATGAGCCAGTAATCTGCCAAATATGGCAGTAGCAGACACTTGTGAACAGGAGCCCATAATAAGACCGTTCGGGGTAGGGTGTGAAAAACAGAACAAGTTTGAGTAACAAGGTGACTACTAAGTGAGCACATGTAATATTCTCAGCAGTGTATCATCATAGTATCTAGAGTGTGCATAATTAGTTATTCATATTTACATTTACTTCCTTACATTATCCACAGCCACGTGGAGATTGTTTTTGTTCCACATTCTGTGTATGACCTGTACATCATTAGCCTATATTGCCAAGTAATAGTGTTTGTGACACACCGTGCGAAATGGCAAATATTCAGGCGTACAACCCTATTGCCGAGTGTGACTAGAAGACCAGAGTTCTCTTAATGTTCATGTTATTATTCAGCTTTATTTTTATGCAGTTGTTTGTAATTTCACATTGTTAATGCGCGCAAGGACTGTTGTGAACTGCCAATAATGATGACATATTCATTCAATGGGCAATTATTAATGCTGTGTGCAACCATTTACAGCATCTACACAAATCGTACACGGAACAACTTCGACTGTAATAATGTTCGTTTATTCTACACAGTTATACCAGTCACGCCAATCCTGTAGTGTTTAGCATTTCTATTTTAGATGCATATATGATATGTTATGTTTAGTAAAGGGACGCTACATGTATGTACACAGTGTTACGCGAATGGACTACATTGTAGCGCGGTGCTTATACGGGCCGAGTAATACCTAAAACTCTTCTTACTCGCGGTCACAAATGGCGTAAGCCGTATTATACGAGCCGCTCTAATAAACGCTCATTATCATAGATTTGTGTTGACATGTCTTCATCAATCCACAACAGGAAGTTAAGCGGGATGTGGAAAGACATTTCATTGTAGTTAGCAGTTAAATGTGGACAAATTTTATTGATAAAAACAGCTATTATTACGTAACTATGGACCAATGTGTTTTGGTGGACGCTCGTGCAGCCGAAGGCATATTGACATATCATGCAGATTGTGTAATCTAACTACAGTATGGCTATTTGTGTTGAATGAAACGGCTATGTCTATGCATTTATTAATGTTTAATAGTTTGAACAATAATTCAAATTGACAATTTTCTGTTTTACCGATGATAACGTTAGCGCGTGGCCTTACACTGTACAGGCTACAGGTGTATTGTAATTTTTATTATGTTTTGTGTGGGCGAACCAGCCTGTGCTTCTCGTGTATTGAGCTCTTCTTTTTGGGCGCAGTTCGGTCTGGTGGACACTAAGCAACATCTAACAGCCACGACAGTTTCGGCCACCATACAAGGACTGTTGGTACGGCATCAATTGAAGGGCAAGGGGCACTGCATCGGCAGATACACGCCATTCGATGTATATCAAGCCCACGCAGTTCAAGCATCATCAGATGCACTCTCCATCGATGAGAGAATGCTTCTTGTTCGCCGGTATGACTTGGACGAAGAGCCTTACGAAGAGCATGACTACTAGATGCGGCTCTAATTTTTTAACTCTCTCTCACGTAAGGATCGCTTGCCATTTGGCTCATAGCGGTTATGTGTTACATGAACATTACGCGCACTCCTGCCGAATGTCGCAGTGTATAACCTCGCTGGTTTGCGAAGTGGGGGGAGGTCTGATGAAAAAAAATCGTGGGCGGTCTAGTGAAACAGACATGTTGTTGGTAAAGTTTTGCAATCTGGCCAGAGCGCCTGCTCTCAAGTTACTGCCTCACTTACGACGCTGCGCATCTGACCACATCACCAGGATTGCATCTGCCCTTAACAGCTGCTTCTGGATGGATTTGCGGATCTCATTACCTGTTTGCGAGTCTTGGCTGATCACATGTTTGAATGTTCACAGAACACAATCAGTCTTCATCTCATCAGTGCCATGCAGCATGCTACATCAAGATACGATGCATCATCATTGCAAAGTTGTCACTGAGAATAACAGGTCCATAACCAGGGTCGCAGAGAAAACAGCTGTCAAATCTCATCTGTTTCGGATGAATAAGCAGGACACAGAATCTTTCGCGGCTATGCGCGAAAAGACGACAGCGCGACGTCGTCGCCCTTCTCCGTGCGGACACTCCAACGGTACGTGCACACGTCTGCGGCTTGCGCCCATGAGATCATGCAGACGCCTGCGAGAGCCAGGTGTCATCGCGCGACGCTCTGGCGTCTGAGCGCGCAATGCGACGCGATAGGACAGAAGCCTGTCTCGGAGTGTAGCCGGCGAACGGTCACCTCGTAAGCTCAGCTTTTTTAACGGGGAGGGGTATGTGTAATATGCAGAAATACATAATAATAAATACGCACTGTTAAGTATTTTCTAGTTTTGGGTATAGCTTACAGGCCCAGCTGTGTAGACGTGACCCCGGACGCAGCGAGTAGTGAGCCAACCATTACATGCGGTAGCTGTTTTTTGTTTTTTACGCAGGCTTGCGAATAATACAATAGATAGGCGGGTCCCAGTTTGGCGTATATAATCTCTGCTTTGGAGAGAGAAAAATTAAGTCAAAGTACAAGACAGGATAGGACAGCGTAGTTACGGAGATATTTCAGCATGTGCTGGGTCTATACGGACGAATCGCGGCATTACTAGTGAGTTAGTGCGTGTCTCGCGTAAACTAGTGTACTGCGCATACTTGTTTTGGAATTATAACAAGTGTACATATAAAGAGAATCATGATACATTACCGTGTTGTTGTGTTCTTTATAATATGATTCCGATAGACGTTAGCAAAGGGTGTTATATATACACTCACGTGTAACCACTAATACGATCACATAATGCAAGCAGCTTCCCTACCTATATATATATAATATTATATATATATAAATTAGTGATAATTAAAATATTGATATAATTGATTATATATTAATATAAATCAATAATGATTTTATACATTAGATTTGATTTCGACATTTCTATGGAGAATCACAGACGGGCCACCACTCTCCGATTAAAGGAACTGCTTAGAACAAAGGTAATTGTTTATTTACTAGTTTTCGTATCACAAAATTCCCTGAAATTTGATATAATTGACGTATCGTTGATTATATATTAATATATTAATATATATCGAGATATCGAGTTTTGTTTAATTCTATTAATACCGAAGACTTTGAAATGGTAAATTTAGTTATCCACATTTTTCTATGCTGGTTACTGTAACGTTAGAAGGACATACGAGAATTGCCTCAGCTATGCAAGCCTAAAAATGCACTTTTTTATTTTATTGGACGTCATATTTCGCCAATCATAAATCACATAAATTTTCACGTTTCGTAAACGTTGCTCTTAAGCTTACATGTTTGATTAATTTGAAAATCATTCCAGTTATAATATCAAGTACTTAATAATGTCATATGTCATATGTTTCCTCATAGTTAATGATCTGACAAATCTTTGCCTTGATGTAGTGTAAGAACCTCTCTTACGCCTGGTAGAGGAATGCCGCAGAAGAGGAGAAGAGGGGCCGGAGGAGGCAGAAGGAGCATGATGCACACCGATTCGCGTCAGGGGACTTCCGAGACAAACCATCGTAACTGACGGTTACAGTGTTTTATACTGATATTCCACGTGTTTTTAGACAGATTTGTTGTATTTTATACTAATCGTTTATTGTAAGTTCAATCCCATATGCATGAGCATGTGGTCTCGCGTTTTATGTGTACGACTGCGGCCCGTTGTCAGAAATTCTCATTTCATGCTCATTCAACTAGAACAACTAGCTCTAGAACTAGAACAACTAGCTCTGGAACTAGAACAAGTAGCACTCGAACTAGAACATCTAGCTCTGGAACTAGAACAACTAGCTCTATAACTAGAGCAAGTATAGCACCCTGATTGTAATCCCATGCATGTGCCGTGCATTCACGATTGAAATGCTTTCCAATAAATATACTCCAAATAAAACGCCGGAGATTCCTCTTTATATATATATGATGTTAATTATTCAAAGGCTATCAACAATACTTTTCTGAAAACTCATCAAGGAAATTGTAACATACACTGTTAAGAAGTTTGCAAATCATTGGTAGTTTGGGTTGTTGTTGAGGACTCGTTGTTGTCTGGCGGTATTGATATTAACACTGACCTTGACCAAGACCTCGTCCAATGCCATGGCCTTATCCTCACCTGATAATGTAAATATTTTGAAAATGGTGAAAGCCATGACCTTGAGCTCAAGGCCATGGCCTTGACCCACTTTTATACGTTTTAAACGTTTTACATTTGTAGGCCAAGGCCATAGCCTTGAGCTCAAGGCCATGGTCTTCACCATTTTTAAAATATTTACATTATCAGGTGAGGATCCTTGCCAATGTATGTTTACATTTCTGCCAATGGCAGTCTAAAAATATTTGACTTGGTAATTGCCTGGATTTAAACCCAGGATTATTGAATACAAGCCCGTTACGCTACGGACGAACCCAAACATACCGTTCCTTACATGATCATCTCAGATGTATGTTATATTTAGCTTAACAGCAGTTAGAAAATATTTTACTATGGTAATTGCCAAGATTTGAACTCCGGACTACTGAATAGCAATCCAACACGCTACGCACACACCCAAACTTCCAATTTGTATTTTGTTCAGATCGTATGTGTGTATTATGTTTTCGTTTTATAAAAAGAAGAAAAATTAAACACCGACTCTTGCCCAAACTCGGAAATCATTACTTGTTTTGTTTTTACCACTGCTTGAAAAGTAGGTATTTTCACGAATACATTGCGTTTTGGGAGCATTTCGTTCTCCTTATATGATATATATAATATATTATATTATCCTTATATTAATCTTTATTATTATGGACAAAATAATGGCTATTTTCCAAAGTGCGCATCGTCAAATTGTTTTCTAGCAAAAAAATGGTTCTAGCGTTTTAGCGTTCTAACGTTCTGGTCTCACGTTCTAGCGAAAAACAATCGTTATAAAATTAATGGGAAAACGAGAAACACAACAGCATAATTTAGACAATTGATATTATATTACTTGTCATTATAAGACCAATAACGTGTAAAATTATAGTAATTGTGTTAGTTGTCTCTTTTCATACACCCGCGTGCATGACACACACACACACACACACACACACACGCACACGCACACGCACACGCACACGCACACGCACACGCACACACACACACACACGCACACCTGAGCGACGTAGTAATAAATATATGTTATGTACGTTATCGGGGTACGTTATGTACGTATTAGGGACGAGCGGTAGCCGTTTTTTGAGGAATGCAATAAAAACGCTAGAGGCGCGGGGAATATGTAGGGCCGGTCGGGCAACCGGAAAAACACATACTATTTTGTGTGTACATACCTGCTTTAATTAACATTTACCTATAATGCTTCTCCTTCTCTCTCTGTTTTTCTTGTTCACGTTCTCTCTTTTCTTCTGCTCCGCTTCTTCTTCTAGCTCTGTCTCTTTCCCTTAATCGTTCTTTTTGTTCATCCGTCATATTTTTTTCTCCTTTTTCTGCTCCTTTCTCTTTCTGTCTCAATCTCTTCTTCCGTCATATAACATATTTTTATTTTCCGCATCATTTGGAAAAGTTATTCTTATACCCTGTACAGACTACGAATTTGATATGGTACTAAACTAGCGGGCGCTAAAAATTGCAGTGTCTATACACGCTATCCCGTTCCAAATACGCGATGGCCCGCTCCAAGTTAGCCCCCTTACGAAGCACAGCTATCTTGGTGCGCACCAAGTTATCCCGCTCTAACTCTGTGTCTGTACGCAATCGGTGCCTAACGCGCACTAAGTTTCGCAACGTGCACGCGCATAGCCTTATTTAGGTCACGTACGCTCGCTCGCACGCACACTCGCTGTACCTCGCTGTCTGCGGGGTGACGTGACGAGCAAGGAACTGAGCGGTGGGAGAACTGATGACTCATTTAAAGTAGGGTCAAATATGCAGTCTGTACGCTCCTAGTTAGCGTGCACTAAGTTAACGCGTGTCAGACGCGTGTCTGATGCGCGCTAAAATTCGTAGTCTGTACAGTGTCACAGTAATCGAATCTCTTTTGTATTCGCCAAATGGCGCCACCGAACTGAGGTGCTCTTGTTATACAGGAGTTACTTGCGAGCCAGCATGTACATGCACTTGCACAGAATATACTCGCACTTGTAGTAACGGTATACCGCTCGTTGTGTGGTAATTTAACAAGCATCACACCATCAAATGGTGGCAGCGGTAAAAGAACTAATTGCAACAGCAAGCCTGGAGATATTCGACCAGAACTTGGCCTGGGAGACAGCAGAGGTTACGCAATGGTAACGCCTGGACAATAGCCACGCTGAGCATGAACAGCTAATGAGTGCATCAGGCAATTATTGACATCGCCGACAGCTGATCAAAGCTAGTGTTACATCCAGTCATCACTTCTTTGTGCATCGCAAGACAGTCATTCATCAGTAAACGGTATGTAAATAACCCGTACTGGATATACAGCTGCAAAATAACCACAAGATTAATATTATTAGTGTTGAACTTGAATGACAACGATGGGGGATGTTCGCGCACCCATCATGGACTGTTCAAGGCTAGATAGGACTGCCAGCTATAAGCTGTTCAAGCAAAGTGTTGGCTTTAAGAGTGCTGGCGAAAACATGCAATTTCGGAGTGCTAGAAGACTCACTCGTAAGAGATAGAATTGTGGGAGTAGTGAGGAGTCAAGGAACTCGAGAAAGCCTTCTTAAAGCTACAAATTTGACTCTCGACACGTGTCTAAAATTGTGTCGAGCAACTGAATTCTTGCAAGAGGCAATTAGAGAATTGCCGTCAACGCAATTGAGTCCATGCAGTAAAGCACAAAGAGGTGCGGGACAGGGGTTTCGGCAAGAAGCAGAAGAAAAGGGGCAAGTTCTGTGAGAAAGGCCACATATACGAGCGAGAGAAGTGTCCAGCGTACGGCAAAAAGTGCAGAAAGTGTAATGGTGACAACCACTTTCAAAGCCAGTGCGACGCTCTGCGAAAGTCGGCTAAACCTAAGTCTCGGTACAAGAGCAAGAGGAAAAACGTGTACTCACTTTACAGAGGCGACTCTGACAGTGATGACTACTGGACAGTAAGGACAGTCGGCCGGAGAGGTGAGAGGAAAGTATTTGCTCGCATGCTTGTCAATGGTGCAGCTGTTCGTTTTCAACTCGACAGCGGGGCAACCTGCAACATAGTTCCAGCTGAAGTGCTCTCCCAACAACAACTCGTGAGCATTGACAAAACACAGCAGAGGGTGCTCACTACCTACGATGGGAGCACCATACAACCACTGGGTGAGTGTTGGGTAAAAATGATCAACCACAGAAATGATGCAAGGTATAAAGTAGCCTGTGTTGTGCTTCAAGAGAACTGTGTCCCAATTCTCGGTGTCTCAGCAGCCCAGCAGATGCAGTTGCTGGAAATAAGACACGAGAACATTATGAATGTGGAGACACATGAGGGTCCGAAAGTTGTTCTCACGAAGGAGGTACTAATGGAGGAGTTCAAGGACGTGTTCGAGGGTACCGGGAGGTTGTCGGGGTCCTTGCACCTGGAAATTGACACATCAGTACCGCCTGTAGTTCATCCACCAAGACGTGTCCCGATAGCACTAAAGGAAGCATTAAGAGTCGAGCTAGAAGACATGAAGAAGAGCATTATTGCCAAGGTTACCACTCCAACCGACTGGGTCTCCAGTCTTGTGGTGGTAAAGAAGTCTAATGGTAAACTACGAATTTGTTTAGACCCCAAAGACTTGAACAAAGTGCTGAAGCGCAGCCACTACCTTCTTCCCACCGTTGAGGATGTGCTACCGAATATGAGTGGAGTGAAAGTCTTTAGTCTGTTCGATGCTAAAAATGGCTTTTGGCACGTTGCAATGGATGAGGACAGCTCATATCTCACCACGTTCCATACGCCGTTTGGAAGGTATCGGTGGAAGAATATCAACGACGGCAGGACGAGGCACTTGAAGGCTTGCCAGGCGTGAGAAGCATCGCCTATGATGTGCTAGTGCAAGGCGTAGGAGACATTGTTGAAGAGGCTCTGTACAGTCATGACTCCAATGTCCGTGCGTTCTTACAGCGGTGCAGGGAGAAGAACCTGAAATTAAACCTGGGAAAATGAAGCTCAGGCAGACACAAGCAGCATATATTGGGCACCTTCTCACTAGTGAGGGCCTGATGGCAGACCCAGAAAAGTGAGAGCAGAGGAACAGATGCCACCCCCACGGGATGTAGCAGCTGTCAGACGATTCCTTGGGCTAGCGAATTACCTTAGCAAGTTTGTACCCAAACTAAGTGCTTTGGTGGAACCAATGAAGGTGCTGACACAAAAGAACGTGAAATGGCATTGGCAGGAAAGGCAGGAACAAGCCTTTAGAGAGCTGAAAGTTGCTATTCGAGAGCAGCCGGTGCTTCGGTACATTGACCCAAGAGAAGAGGTGGTAGTGCAGTGTGATGCTTCAGAGGAAAGGTTAGGTGCAGCGCTTATGCAGAAGGGGCAACCTGTCGCCTTTGCAAGCAGAGCCCTTACAGACACAGAAACTCGATACGCACAGATCAAGAAAGAGCTCCTTGCTTGTGTCTTTGGAATTTCCACCAGTACGTATAGGGAAGGCCATTTGTGGTACAGACCGACCATAAACCACTGGAGAACATTATGCAAAAGCCGCTTCATGTGGCTCCGAAACGACTGCAAACCACGTTGGTAAAGCTACAAGGCTATGACCTAGAGTTGAAATACCAACCTGGCCCTACTCTGTACCTGGCAGATACGTTGAGTAGAGCATACGTTCCAGGAGATCCTAAACTGGATAGCTTCAAGAAGTACCTGAATAATGTCAATGTGCTGAGTTACCTGCCAGTTTCAGAAAGTAAACTCGAACAGATCCCTGCTGCTACTGAACGCGACTTGAGTGTACTTAAGTCTATTGTTTTTGAGGGATGGCCCAAGAATAAAGATACTGTGCCGGGAGATATCAAGCACTATTTTAGTCTAAGAGACCATTTTTCGGTGCACAACAGAATAATCTTGAAGGGTGACCGCGTGGTAATTCTCAACTCGCTGAAAAGGGAAATGATGGACCAACTACACAGCTCGCATGTTGGCATTGAATGCTGCCTAAGGCGGGCTAGAGAGTGCCTGTATTGGCCAGCAATAAATTCTAAAATTCGCGATTTCATTGCTGCATGTGAAATCTGCAACTCAATGCCCAGGAAGCAGCAGAAGGAGACGTTAGTGCCACATGATGTGCCTGAGCAGCCATGGGCTACGGTGAGAACAGATCTGTGCTACATCGATGGGTTGAATTACCTCGTCACCGCAGATTACCACTCAAACTTTATTGAGATAGATTATCTGGAGGATACCAGAGCAGAAACGGTTGTCACGAAACTAAAGGCACAGTTTTCATGCCACGAGATACCGGATTCTGTCGTGAGCGACAATGGCCCACAGTTTGCGTGTGATGTGTTTGCGAACTTTAGCAGGAAGTGGGGCTTTGAGCATAACACCTCATCTCCTCGGTATCCGCAGAGTAACGGTAAAGTAGAAAATGCGGTGAAAACTAAGTCTAGTTAAGCAAGAGTCTAATTATAAAGTCAAGGATGGCAAAATCTGATCCTTACCGGGCTATTCTGGACTGAAACATTAAACGTCGCCAGCAGAAAAAATCGTTGGTAGGCGTACAAAGACGTTGCTACCCACCACTGCAGCTCTACTCAATCACCGAAGTCTACCGCATGACTGCGAGAGGGAGAGGATCACCCTGCAATGCTGAGAAAAGAAATGAGGTAATAAGTAATTATGCAAATAACGAGTAATAGTAGAATATAGATAGAATAAGGTCTCGGGAGGTGAAAGCTTTGTCAAACGCTGAGCAGTGACACGAGATGGCACCCGTACGTGCCAGCCAATGAGAGCGGCCAATAGGCTCTCGTGACTAGAAAGTAAGACAATAGACGAACGTGCATATTTAAGGCGAGACACCTTTGTGCGCAGCTCTCTCTCTCCTGACCGAACCAGACATACCAGTAATTTGCGTGCGTGAGCAGCATATCCACAGTTTGAATCGCAAGTTATGTTTTTGTGTCGCGTACACCTACGTACACGTTTCTGCGAGTCCTGTCTCCGCTGTGCCGGCTGAGCCACCACCACGTATAGAGAAGCAGGAGCAGCCATTCCAGCGACCACCACCAATGACATCCATCAGTCCAGCCAGAACCAGATCTGGGCGGACGGTCAGGAAACCAAAACGTTATGTGGACGAGTAGATAGCAAAGAAGCTACTACCTGTAAATATTTAATAGTGATATGTTAGTGACATTAAAGAACAAGTAACAATGTGAGTTTAGTTGTAACGACGTCGTGGTAGATCTCTGGTGTGAATTTGTAAAGTTCACGATATTGTTTATTTTATTAGAATTTGGTTGATAATGCCTTGAGATCCATTAATCTACTTTTCTCAATGTATAACGTCTCTACTTTATTTGGAATCTATATCACCTGTACGTGGTACGTGTCTTTTCAAATAGAGGAAAGATGTGACAACACATGTTATTATCAACAAACACCTGAGCGTTTGTTACGCATACGTCCCCTAGTGGGAACTAAAGTAGGCTCAGGCTATATAAAGCTTTGCCAGGTGGCAGAAGCTCTCTTCTCACCTAGGGCATACTCGAAGCTGTAGCATACCAAGTGTGGCTATAATAAAGCATGGTGTTGTAACATATCAACTGTGAATTTAGTACTTCCATCAGTATTGTAACGAAAAGCACTTATGTATTTTGACTGCAACGATGTTAAAGCTAAAAAGCAAGTGTCCCACATACTGCTTATGATGGGTGATGAAAGTGCATGTATAACAGCTGGGAAATGACAGAGGCAGACCGAAAGAATGCGGCTACAGTATGGGAAAAATTCGATGTACATATCGAGCCAAAGTCTAGCTTCAGGGTGGAGACTCACATTTCAGCGCATGAGAGAACGGGCTGATGAAAGCAGTGACGACTTCTTAAGCAGACTAACCAACCAAGCGAATTTATGCAAATTTATGGATAAGGATGAACGCATTGTCGATCAAATCGCATTTGGTACAAAATACGCTGAGGTTCAAAAGACGTTGTTAATACAAGATGCTGCCTACACCTTTGCAAAGGCCATGGAAGTATGTCGTGCCCATGACGCCACGGTGGGCCACCAGAAGGCATTTAAGCATATACAAGACAGCAAGCTGTCAGTCAATGCCTTTCATCACGGTTACAAGTCATCTCCACGGTGCTACCATTGTGGCGAAACCCGCCACAAGTCCAGCCAAGGATGCCCGGCAAAGAGATCCACATGCAGACGGTGCGGTGGTTCAGACCACTGGGCCAAGACCAGGGCGTGCCCCGGCAAGTCACCAACACGTGATGGAGCAAGGCCCCGCAACCACTCCAGCTCACGAGGTGACAATGCCTGGAGCCGAGGACGGGCAGAGGCCGTGGCCGAGGTCGATACTGGAGTCATGGTAGGGACCAGCATGGCAGGGACAAAAGCATTAATGCCATTACTGCTGAGGATGAATACTTTGCCCACATTTCCTATGACGCTGTAGAAATTACGGTGGACACTGTAGCACAGAAGCAGTCAGCTTTTGCAACGCTTGACATACAACTGCCGAACAAGCGTGTGCATTACACCCTCTAGCTTAAGGTTGACACGGGAGCTGAGGAAAACATCTTACCACTGCGCACATTCCGCCGCTCGTTTCCCCACAAGCTGGATGCCAGCGGATATCCAAGGTCATCCGAGGTCAGCCACATGCCTGGTGCAAAGCTAACAGCATACAATGGAGGTGAAATCAAACAGCATGGTGCCATATGGCTGGGTAGGTACAATAATTCCGGATGGCATGGCATGACCTTCTACATTGCTGAATCCGATGGTCCTGCAATCTTAGGCCTCCCAGGCTGCAAGCTGATGAATGTGGTCACTCTGCGTTGTGACGATATTGGCATAGAAGTGTCAGCCATTAACACTACTCCAGCATCTACGACACCCGGAGTCGGTAGCATAGAAGACCTCAAGGACGCATTTCCTAAATCATTTGCCGCGCTGGTGAATTTCAAGGAGGAGTACCACCTCACTGCTGACCCTGCAGTGCCGCCGGTTGTGCATCCAAACCGGAAGTACCAGATGCAACGTTGACTTGCTATCAAAAGTGAGCTGAAGAAGATGGAAGTGATGGGCGTCATCAAGCATGTAACCGAGCTGACAGACTGGGTTTCAAGCATTGCCATTACGGAGAAGAAAAGTGGCAGTCTGCGGGTATGCTTAGACCCAAAAGACGTCAACCGCGCGCTCAAGCTCATCACAAGACGCCGACCCTTGAGGAGATAACTCACCACTTTGGCGGAGCCAAAGTCTTTAGCAAGCTTGACGCCAAGAATGGCTACTGGTCAATAAGGCTGGATAAGTCCAGCTCAAGGTTAACCGCAGGACGTCTTTCAGCAGAGGATGGACGCCATATTGGAGAACTGCCCAGGCTGCACTGTCATCGCGGATGATGTTGCTGTCTACGGATGCACAGACGAGGAGCATGATCGCAATCTCTGGAACCTGATGCAGGTTGCAAAGGAGCATGGACTGGTCTTCAATTCTGAGAAATGTATAATCAAGGACAATGAATTACGTTCTTTGGCATGATCTACTCCTCAGATCGTGTGAAACCAGATCCAGATAGAGTGGAAGCCATCAGCAGCTTGCCATCGCCGGCAAGCAAGAAAGGGCTGCAAGAGTTCCTCAGAATAGCTACATACATAGCACCATTCGTGCCGTGTCTGTCGCAGCACACAACCGGCAAAGCAGGATGTTGACTTTAGCTGGCTACCTGAGCATGGAGAGGCCTTCACTGCCGACCCTAACCCTAACCCTAACGACTTAAAACAGTATTGCGACACCTGGAAACTAAAACTTAACCATAGCAAAAGTGAGACTGTCACCTTTAGCAACAGCCACTTAAACGTTCACAAATATAAATTCAAATGGGGCTCCACCACTCTAAATTCTAGACCGCACTACAAATACCTAGGGTTCCACCTATACCACAATGGTAACTCAAAATTTGGGGTAGAGGAACTTAGAAAAAAGGCACTAAAAGCAATGCACAGTCTAAGACGCTCTATCTTTAACTACGAAACTCCGGTCAAAACGTACATTACGCTGTTCCACTCTGTGATATCCCCCATAACCCTACATGCCTGTGAAATTTGGGGCCCAGACTTCATCTCCAAAATTATCAAATCGGAATCAGATACTCATGCCCAATCAAATATACAAAACCTGTTCAGTCTATGGAACCGCTTCCCATTTGAAACGATTCTGAACAAATTTTGCAAATGGGTACTGGGAGTCAGAACTAAAACCTCCAACATAGCCGCCAAAGCTGAGTTAGGAATGTTCCCCTTATTTTGCCACTTGAAGAACTATATTATGTAATTCTGGCACCATGCAAATTCACAAGTCCAA